TGCATAGGAACTTTTTAAAGTGTTGAAGAGCAAAGATGTCAGCTTGAGGACTAAGGTGCGCCTGACCCAAGCCATGGTATTTTCAGTAACCTCATGTGTATGTGAAAGGTGGACAGTGAATAAGGAAGACCATAGAAGAATTGATGCTTTTGAGTTGCAGTGTTGGAGGAGAATATTGAAAGTGCCATGGGTTGCCAAAAGAACCAATAGATCCGTTTTGGAAGAAGTGCAGCTATAGTGCTCCTTGGAGGCCAAGATGGCCACACTTCGTTGCTCATTCTTCGGATATATTGTCGGGAGGGACCAGTGACTAGAGAAGGATATCATGTTTGGTAAGGTGGAAGATGAGAGAAAAAGAGGAAGACCCCCAAGGAGATGGATTGGCCAAATAGCAGCATCGATGGACTCAAGCGTGGCTACAGTAGTGAGGTTGGCCTAGGATCGGGCATTGTTTCGTTCTGCTGTGCATAGGTCTCTATGGGTTGGTACTGACTCGATGGTACCTAACAAAACAAGCACTGATTGTTACAATGAAGAAGTGTCTTGAGTCTCTGAATTCAGTTTCTTTGGGTAAGTACTTTAAAGTGGAATTGTGAAGTAATATAGTGATTCTGTGCTTAAATTTGTGAGCAGTAAAGATGTTTTCCATAATAACAATCCCATTTTACATTTCCACTAGTAGTGTATGAGGATTAATCACTTTTCTGGTGATTTTTATATGTGTTTTTTTTTCTGTTTTTGCTTTTAAATAATAGCCAATCTAGTGGGTGTTTAATACCTCATTGTGGTTTTAACTGCATTTCCCTGATGACTTATAGTGTTAAATATCTTTCCATGTGCATATTGACTATTTGTATAGCTTTGATGGTAGTGTGTCGTGGAGTCAGTTCCGACTCTTAGCGACCCTGTATAGGGTTTTTGAGGCTTTAAATCTTTACAGGAGCAGAAAGCCACATCTTTCGCCTACAGAATTTCTGGGAATTTTGAACTGCTGACCTTGAGATTAGCTACCCGACTCGTAACCACTATGCTACCAGAGCTCCTTGTATATCTTTGGAGAAGTGTCTATTCAAGTCATTAGCCAATTTTTAAATTGGGTTGTTTTTTGTCTTTGTTGTTGAATTTATATTCCTTATATATTAAGCCTTTATCAAATGTATGAGTTTAGAATTTTATTGTTTTACCTCATATTTGGAGACCTGGTGTGGCACTGTGGGTTAATGTGCTGGACTGCAAGGTCATTTGAACTTAAGAGTTTTTGGTTCAAACTCACCAGCTCTTCCTCAGAAACCCCCTACAAGGTCTCTATGAGTCAGAATCGACTCGTTGGCACTTAACAACAACACAGCAACTTCATATTTGGTCACTGATGTGTTTTTTAGTGAATTTTCATATATAATGTGATGTATGGATCCAACTTCAGTCTTTTATGTGGTTTTGACTTTTGATAGCGATTGTATTATATTTGCAGATTACTTTGCATGGTATTGATATCTAAATATTGCATCTTCTGATTCATGAACACGTGATGTCCTTCTGTTTATTTAGATCATTTTTTATTTCTTTCAGCAGTATTTCCTGTTTTTCAATGTGTAAATTTTTTGTCTACCTGATTAAATATATTTCTTGGTGTACTTTATTATTTTAGATATTATGTTCTAATTTTTAGCATGGGTTTGTTAATATTCTATAAATTGTGTGTATTATATATTTTATGATTTCTTTTACATATATGTTATATTTTATTACTAAAATAGAAAAAATCCCCTAAATTAAAGATTATTTGGACTGTATCTTAATTGAACTGAATTGTGCTACCTCTATTTCTATAGTCATTTTGGAACTGGATGAATAAACTACTGAAAACACTCTTTGAAAAATCAAGTGACAGAAAACAACCTGGGCCTGTAGTTAATTCCAGAGATCCATTAGGTTTTAGTTGGTGGATTATTACTCACGTAGCATCGTTGTACCAGTTTGATCGCCATGGACTTCTAGATGAAATGGTAAGATCTTGATTTAAACTTTCTTAAATTATGTGGCACTGTGGGTTTATGTGCCAGACTGCAAAGCTGTTTGAA